ACTAGGCCAGCGGGCCAGCGGCCCGTTGTTGTCCTTGCCGCCCATAGCGCTGAGACAGGTGGGGGAGCCAGCACCTTCGCGTCTCGGATCGCGCGCCTCGGGGCGTGCTTGGCGAGCGCGCTCCAGCCGTTCGGCGGCGGTCGCGACGGCGTCGGGATCGAAGAGGTCAACGGAAGTGGGGGCGGGGAGGGGGGGGGCGGGAAGGGAGGTTCAGCCAGACGGCGTGGGAGGCGAAGCGGGCGCTGCTTCCCTCCGAAGGGCAGCAGCCCAGTAGATTCCGATTGTGGCGATGCGGTCGGCGGCCTGATTGAGCCGTCTGCGGACAGCTTGCAAGGTGAGTGCCCAGCAGGCCCCGCTGGCTTGCCGCAGGGCCATGTCCATTAGCTGACTCAGGTGCAGCTGGCGGTGCCTGCCCCTGCCTGTCACCGAGGACCATGCTTTGGAGCCGCCGCGACCCCCGAAATAGCCGCCGAATTCCAAAAGATTTGCGCGGTATTTCTTTTGTTTTTGAGCGCATGCAATGCTGGGCGCGCGCGCCCGCCTGCAACGCCCCCCGGCGAGCATCCAATTTGAACCAAACATCGCCGCGGCCGTCGCAATCACCACCACCAAGACAACAAGAGTACAAGTGTTACATTCATCCTCGCGCTGAGGGCACGTTAGCCTACGCCGCCGCACATCGACTCTTTGCCACAGCCGAGTGTCGCGTGCTCCCAGCAGCATTCGTCGACAGCTGTCAAAAGCAAAACCGCCGACATGGTCCTTGAAAGGGCCGCCAGGAGGGCCGCCGAAGGGGCCGCAGAGATCGTCGGCGAAATCGCCGCCGAAATTGCCGCCGAAATCGCCGCCGAAATCGCCGCCGAAATTGCCGCCGAAATTGCCGCCGAACTTGCCGCCGAAATTGCCGCCGAAATCGCCGCCGAAATCGCCGCCGAAATAATTGGGAACTCCGCCGAAATCGCCGCCGAAATCAGCCGCCAAAATCGTCGCCGAAATTCAGCCGCCGAAATTGTCATTGCCCTGCCCCAAGCGAAATCACTATTTTTATCAAGCTCGATGACGCCGCGGACACAGGCATCGAGTCACAACCAAGGTCAATTTCGGCCTCTTTTCAGCGGCACAATCCGGAATTTCGGCGGAAATTTCGGCGGCGGGTTTGGCGGCAATTTCGGCGGCGATTTCGGCGGCAATTTCGGTGGCAATTTCGGCGGCAATTTCGGCGGCCCTGTCGACGGCTCTTTCGGCAGCCCTTTCGGCGGCAATTTCGGCGGCCCTTTCGACGGCTCTTTCGGCGGCCCTTTCGGCGGCGTTGCTGTTGCCAACTGTCGACCATGGCTGCCGGGAGCTCTGGGCACTCGGAGGCCCCGGCGGGCCCTGAGAGGGCCCTCGAAAGACCTCACCAGAAAGCGTATGCGAAGTAGCTCAAGCCACGAGTGATTGGCACGCAACGTGCAGAGCGAATTCCCCCTGGCAGCGTGCAGGGCGAAATCCTCGCGTTATGCATCAGCACGCTCTGCGATGCGCATGGAAACCACCGCGCGACAGGGCGCGCCTGCACACCGAAACCATCAAGAAAAACTCAATTTCGTTTGGAATGAATTTCGGCGCGCGCCCCTTCTCGTCTCTCGAGAAAAAGCCACTACGATGCCTGCGCCGTATCAGATGGCAGCGAGGTTGTCGCCGACGACTCTGGCAGACCGGACCGGACCCGGGACGTGAGGGAGTAGGGCTGGGACCGCTCTGCAGTCTGCGGCCTCGGCCGTTTAGGCATCGCCGCAGTCCGGCAGCGCCAGAGCTGTGACGGCCACCAGCTGCGGGGCGGCGTGTTAGGGGCTGTGGTGCCAGAGAAGGGCCCCGGCACCAACGACTCTCTGGTAGCCATCAGCCACTCGGGCGCCACCGTCGAAGGTGATCTCGTAAGGCCACCAGGCAGCGTCAGCGGAGAGGAACGGGGCACGGTCCACGGTGACTCCGTCCCCCTGCTCAAGGTCGTGCGTTGCTGTAACTGGGAGCGTGTGGGAATTGCATGTGGGGCAGAACCTCATGGCCCATTGCGCGGATGGTTACCTTGAGGGGCGCGGACAGGGGAAGCAACCGCGCCCGGGGAGGAACCACCCGGCACGCGGGTCGTCTGCCTGAAGGGCGGCGAAGCGGGTGCCCGCACAAACCCCCCTGGCCGCGACCGGGAGCCGTCTGGCGTCTCCCCCGGCTCAGTCTGCGGTTCGCGTCTGATGCGGGCGAGCCGCGCCTTGTATGGCGCCAGATTCTGGGGGGTTGGGGTTGCACTCCGTGCAGCGGGCGAGGAAGGGGACCCAGACTGCGGTTTCACGGTGCTGCTGTGGCCCGTCTACCAGGTGACCTTCCTCCACCTCTGCGTCGTAATGGGGATCGCCGTTTGCAACATAAAGGCCCTGTATGATGAGGCGAGCAGCCGCTGTGGGGTCGAAAGGGGTGTCATTGAGGCCGATATAATACTGATAGAAGACTTGATGGACGATGCGGGCAGCGACTGGTGGGGATACGCGAAGCGTCAAGAATTGATAAGTGAAGTCGCTCGTGAAATCGAAAATGATGTCCAATCGGTGTCCCGTCGGTGCTCCGCCGGTGAACCGTAGCGGGATCGATCGTGAGATCGGTCGTTGTGGGACCGATCGTGGGATCGATAGTGAGATCGATCGTAAGACGGGTAATGCAGTCGATGTTCAGATCGATGGTGAGTTCGATGAGTTAGATCGATCGTGATATTGGTAGCGATATCGATAACAATATCGATTGGCTGAGACGTTGGATCCTCGCCCCTCCGAACTTGTCACCGAAGGGTGGTCGTATTGGTATGATTTGATAAGGGGATAAGCAGACCTCCTCAAACCTCCTTCTCCATCTTCCTCCTAGTCTTCCGATCCTCTGTGTCCATCCTCGTTGTCGATCTCAGTCCTCCCACATGCCAGCCATGACCCTGATGCTTTCACAACTTGGGCCCGCGGAGCTCTGGAACCTTCCCCAAAATGGGTTTTCATCCTGGGGTGGATTGGGATAGCCCTACGGCTTGCAGGGCCCCTCCAAAGGGCTGAAAGCGGTCAGAAAACAACCGCCGCTTCCTTCACTAAGTAAGGCGGTCTGGGCACGGAGATCAAAATTCGAACCCCGGACCTGTCCTGGGGAGCGTTCCCGCCAGACTTTGGATGAAGGCGGCCCAAGCCACCCCCCCACGCCCACCACATCACATTTTATATGATACTGTCCAGAGTTGTTTCTAAAGCCTGTGGCCCGACGGCCATCGTAAGCTGCATGTGCCCCAAGAAGGCCCTGGCAACCTGCGGAAAAAAACACCGCCGGGGACCGGGAACAAACATTCTTATGACACCAAGAACGTGTGTAATAAACATCCACAACTTTTTAATGCAACAAAAATTGCCGCGCGCGAAATTGCCTGGGACATTGCTCGCATCGCGGCATCGCGGCACAACTTCAGAAACGCAGAAAAGCGTAGATTATACACTTTTGATATGCGGGGCGAGAGCGAACCTCTTCCGCTAAAGCTAGGCGGGCTTTACGCACAGCTTTAATCCGGGAGACGGGGCACAGGAAGGCGGGGCCGCAGGCGGCCGGAGTGGGCGAAACCCAGGGGTGCAGGCGGTGCCGAAGATCTTGTGCAGGAGCAGGTGCGCCGCGGACAGGCACCGAGGGCGAAGTCCCGGAGGGTGAAGGAGAAGGTGTTGCCGTCGACGGCGCATCGCGAACACCAGCCTCAGGCGCTGCAGAGAGGGACGTGCCACTTGACCAGGTCGACGCCCAGGAAGAAGAGGAGCACCACGAAGGCGATGTGAAACGTTGTGCCACCGGGTGATGCGGAAGAAGCCCGGGGTGGTAGTCCAATCCACGACCAGCGCGTATATAAAACACGCAAGAGCTGATTTTTTTACATATAAAATTAAACAAAGGAAATATAACACGATATGTAGAACCGAAAATATCGCGATTCGCAATCGTCGCCGCAGGGGCGGGTCGACTAAGTCCACAAGCGTTCCGGGCAAAATGTAACAATCATCCTGGTGTGTGTGGGTGGGTTGTTTTCTCTCGATCTTGATGTGGATCCAGCCTCGACGAACCAAACATAAAACCTCGATCATCGAAGTTCGATTCCCCCCCCTCCTTCCCGCCCCACCCACACCTCGATCACCTGTGAATCATCCTCCACTATCATTGCCCATTTTCCCCATGTTCCCTTGTTTTACACACGCCTCCGAACAATCCATCCTCCTCCTTGTCAAGACTCCGAACCATCCCCATCTATCCATCCATCCGTCCATGCATCCATCCATACATATTCCTCCTCCTCCTCCTCCTCCTCCTCCTCCTCCTCCTCCTCCTCCTCATATGCATGGTCCTCCGCTATCCGAAATCTCCTGACCTCCTGGTGTCACGAAATCATAACAGGCGAATGTTTTGTGGCGACTGTCGGCCCTTGGGGGCCCCTGTCCGAACTCTGGGATAGCTCAACAAAAAAAACAGCCAGGATGATCAAACGGTCCCTGTGGAGGGGTTCAGACCTCTGTGGGCCCACGTTGTGGAACATTATTTTTGGTCGCAGCCCTGTGGGTCACACCACGTTCGGGCTAGAGCGGGCCGCGGACCATCAAATCGTGCAGTGGGAAAGGCAAAAGAGCGGCCGCGAAGGAGGAGGCGGAGGAGGCAGGCGGAGACAGTCTCAGAGCTGGGGGAACAAAAACAATATCAATGACCCGCCGCTGTGGGGAAACCGGTAGCGTGCTGCTGTCGAAGAAACACCAGGCATTCGCACACCAGCGACGGAGTTCAACATGCCGGCGCCCTCGCATCGGCGCCCTGTCCTCTCTCCTTCCCTCCCGAAGAACACGATGAGCTGGTGCACGTGCCGCGCTGGCGGCCACGCTATGACAAATCCACTGCGTCGGAGGTCTGCGCCGCACCACTGCGTGGGAGCAGGGGGGGTGGGGGGGCGTCGACCACCGGGCGGGGTCCCGGGTCAGCAGGTCTGACAGCGGCCCGAGGAGCATGTTGAAGGAGTCCCTGTCCAGGGCCAGCGCCTCTCCGGCCGGCGCCGAGGGCGGCCGAGCGAGCCCGCGGAGGAGAATCCTGAGCGTCCAGGAGGGCCAAACACGACCACCAGGACTGTCGAGCTTGACTTGTGGTACGGTGGAGGTTTGAAATGAGGATGCCTTCGATAAGGAACCCAGGATCTCGCGACCGACAGGCGGCCAAACCTGGGCCACCGACCTCGCCTCGAAACAACACGCAATGCGCCAGGGTCTGGGCCCCGGGAAGACGTTCCTTATCCAATGCCGCCACCGTAGATGCTCTGAGCAGTCCTGACAATTGCGAAATCCGGAGGTCAGGGGAGGAGTGGGGCCCAGACGCCCAGCACCTCCAAAGAATCGGGGCTGCCACTTTGTCGCCTTGTTTTGGCCTCCAAGCGTCAGCTTCGGGATTCACTCAGAACGGACAGCCAGCCCTGGGGAAGTGGTCGAGAACTTCGGGGGGGGGGCCCACGCACTGAAAAATCGCAGCTGCGGATACTTTGAGGAGGAGACAAAAAGTAGGATCGAGGAAGAGGGGGAAGAGACGTGAAGAGGAGGATGGAGGTGGGAAGGAGGGAGATCGAGAGAGAGAGACGTCCGCAAAGTTGCAAGACGGGGCTGTAGCACGGAGAGATCAGATGCAGGGAAGGAGGGAGGGAGCAGTGTCAAGGTCTGTGGTATGTTTGGCTCGTTTCTGGCCCCAGGGGCCTTTGAAGTCGCGGGAAGGGGGAGGAAGAGAGTAAGAGGAGTAGGGTGGGAGGAGGGCCAACTCTCTTGGCGCCCTTGAAATCCCACCAGCCCTCTGGGCGTAGGTGGTCTAGAGCAGATCCTCTTCCACCCCTCCCTCTTCCCCCTTGGGGAGGGGTTTACCCCTCCCCCTACCCCCTCCCCTGGACCTGGACGGGGGGGGCCGCGGGTAGTTAGAGCGTCCAAGATGGCCCAAGACGGCTCCAAGAGCGCCTCAGAGAACCCAAGATGAGCTCCAAGATGGCTCAAGATAGCGCAAGATCGCTCACGATGGCTCCTAAGATGGTTCCAAGAAGCCCAAAGACGGCCCCAAGATAACTCCAAGTGGCCAAACAGCTCCCCAAGGAGGCCCCGAAGAGGCCAAAATCGTCCCAAAACCTAAGGAAAATCAATGATTTTTGCTTTCTCGCCTTTTCGCTTCCGATGGCCATCCGAGGCCTGGAGATGGCTCCAAGATGGCCCAAGAGGGCCCCAAGAGAGCCCCAAAAGAGCCCCAAGACGGCCCCAAGAGCGCCCAAGAGCACTCCAAGAGCGTTCCAAGAGGGGTCCAAGAGGCGATTTTAGGGGCTTCCGAGGGGGGACGCTAATTAAACCCCCCCTCTTGTTTGATCGACTCCCTCCAAGATGGCCCCAAAAGCGCCCCGAAGGCTCCCCAGAGCGCCTCAAGAGGGTCCCAAGAGGCGCCCAAGATGCCCCAAGGCGCCCAAAAAGCCCTCCAAGAGGCCCTCAAAAGACCCCCAAGAAGCTCCTTCCCCTCCTCCTCCTCCTCCTCCGATTCTTCCTCCTTCTCCGTCCTCCTCCTCCTCCTCCTCCTCCTCCTCTTCCCCCTCCTCCTCCTCCTCCTCCTCCGACGACGACGACGACGACGACGACTCCTCTTCCATCCTCCCCCTCTCGGGGTCTGTGACAGCTTCCCCCGCCCTTTGTTATTCTGCATGCTCCCCGACTTCCCTGATCACCTCAACTCCCCTGAGCATCGTTTCTGGATGGGCTGGTGGGGATACGCGAAGCGTCAACAATTTTGACAGCCAGAATATTAAATTGAAATTAACTTGAAACTCCACCACAACAGCGAGGGCTGTTAAAAAACGGCAGTGGCCGCTGCCAAGAAGGCGGTGACCGTCACAAACGGACAACGTTCGCAGCGAGACCGAAAGTGGCTCCTTCTCAATATGGGAAGGAACTGGTCGTCACCACGCCTGCCCTCAAGGAGTATCCGAAAGGCTGCTGTTCAAGGGCTGCATACGATCCCTGGTCTGGCACTGGACTCGACAATAGCGGGGCACCCAACAAATTGGAACTGACAACCGCCTCGCCGCCAGCACTCGCCAGTTCTACCGGCTCCACATTCCGCCGCCGAATCTCTCGAGTGTCTCGACGTGTTTCGTTAGGGTGTGCTCGATCCAGCCCGCGACCCTCTGTGCCGTTTCCATGCCCCATGCGTCTTGGCAAAACGCCACGCGTGGACCTCCAGGCTAGACCAGAGACTATTGCTCCAAACCCCAGCATTGTTCCACAATTTCTCGGGACCACCAGAGGAGCAACTCGGGATTCGGGATGAAGAGCTGGCCCCGGAGATGGGAACGAGAATTCCACGGATTGGCGGCTCGAAGGAAGTCTCGGAACGGCCGCGACCCTAGAAGAGGGCCAAAACGGCCGCAAGAAGGCGGCCTCGAGCGGCTGGCTGGCGGCCAAAGACGGGCGTCACGGCCGCAGAGGTCTCCAAGATCCCGGGCCACACAGACCTCCGATATCTTGTTTTTTTTGTTCACAGCGTGGACCCCGGCAAACCTCTTTCATCCCGAATCGTTGTCTGACGGCCCTTAGACCCAGGAAAGGCCCCCCGAGGCCGAACACTGCCGTCGACACTCCGCCGTGATATTTCTTCACGACGCGGGACAAGGTCCGGAGACGAAACGCCAGCGAAGGCGCTCTTGGAAAACTCACCTGCTGTGTCGCCCGGCCAACTGGTCGGTCCGAGCTGGCTGTCCCGCCCGCTCGCAGCCTTCGCCGTCTCCGAGACCACGGTAACCGTCGCGGCGCGCGGCTCGTTGTTGAGCAGCGCGCGCTCCCCGAAGACCTGGCAGACCTGCGAGCTCGCCTTCTGCCGCACCTGCTCGACGCCGTCCTCTCGGGGTGCGGCGGCGTATCGCACCGTGGGCACAGCTGGCCATCGCTCGGACGTCAATTCCCACTGTTTTTGTGCGGTTTCGTGCGTGGCTTTTTTCGCCAAATGATCAAGGATGCTCGTCGATGGTCCTCGCCGAAGGAAAAATGCACACGTCCGAGCGATGCCAAGACAAGGGAGAAGGAACTGGCCTGCCAAGGGGTGCCCCTCGAAAAAAACACGGATCCCCTGGTGGGCCCGCAGCCTCGGGAAGACTCGCGAAACTCTGAGTCAGTTTGGGGATCGCCATAGTTCGTTCCGTGCGCGCCTGCTGCGGATGGCCGAGGGTCAGGGGGTGGAAACTGTTAGGACGCTCGGAAGGGAGAGGTGAGAAACGACGAAAAAAGACGACCATAACATCTGCATAAACCTAAACATTCGGAGGTCCGCGCAGATGACGGAAGCGCGACGCCACTCACGTTCTGCTTCAGAAACAAAAGCAGGGTCCATGACATCTTCGACGTATTCTGGAAACCACGCTCGATTATCTGAAAATATATAGAATGAATTGTTGCTCGAATTCGTTTTCTACGAGGAATCCGCTGCGAACCCAGGACGATCCAAGATATTCAAAGAGGCGTGTGGTTGGAGCTGCTCACTTGGAAGAACCTACGTCACGGGCGCCAAATGGAAACGGGATCGGCATACGGAATTACACACCGGAGCGGTAGTTGAAGCTCCATGTGGAAGGCGATCAAGATAAGAGATGTGCAACGTTGATGCGGGGACGGTATGTGGACGTGCTCCGTAAAGAAGCTTCAAGAGGCACCAGGAAGGCCCAAGAGGGCCCAGGAATCCACGTAAGGCCCCAAGCTGAGAACCCAGGAGGCTTCAAGAGGCACCATGAGGCATGAGGCCTGCGCAGCAGTCTTCAGGAAGCCTCAGGAATACGAACAGGCCCCGGGGGTCCGAGGAGGCAGAACATCCCAGAGTCTCCCAGAGGTCCCAGGAGGCCGCAGCAGGCTCCAGGAAGGCATGGGAGGACCCACGAAGACCCAAGAGGCCCTCACTCGTGTTCGGACTCACTGATACTTAGACACATAGACACTTGCACGCACTAATACGAAGACCCCCCACACAATCAAACTCACAGGTTCATCCCGGGTGGTCGGATATACTCACGCTCAGACACACTCATACTCAACCAATCCTTATCAGGCGCACCCGCGCTCATACCCGTCCATGCGAATGCTCAATTATACTCGTGTTCACTCACGAAGAGGCGATCATATCCAGAAGCATTCATGGTCATATGTGCCCCCGCTCCGACTCTCTCCGTCCCAAGGTCATTCATACTCAGACTCTCTCGTGGCCAGCCTCGCTCAAACTCATGCTCAGTCGTACTTACACGCGCTTACACTCAGACTTGCTGATAACCGAGTGCGGGCGATAATGACCCCCCTGGGATAATAAAGTTCGCGGTTCTGGCGGGGATAACAAAAGATTTTCCCAGGAGAGTTAAGTTATGATGATGATGTGCCGATGATGACGATGATGATGGTGAGTCGACTCGCGTAGTAAGGATGGGTAGGCACAAATGCAAGGTCCTCGCAAGGCCCATAGATGGGCCGAAGTGGCAAGAATGCAAGGGTATACCAAGATTGCTCATTCCTACCACGCGGGTTGATTGTAATATTACAAATAGGAGCACGAGCAGGAAGAGAGGAATAATTATGGTGGGAGACGGAAAAGAGAAGAGGATGGCCGCAGAATCGACTTTGAAAAAACATGGATTCGGGGCCTTCTGTTTCTTATTCGTAAAACGAAATTCTGTTTAATCGTTTTCAAGTGCGCGTCGAGGGGGATCCATGGTGGGACCCCGCGGGGGATAAAAAAAACCCGAAGATAAAAAAGTTCGGCCCCTCGGGGGGGGGGGAGGATCCCACTGAACTGGTGAGAACCCCACAGCCCTGCCACACGCGTGATTGCGGAAGCTGGTGTGGTGAGACCACCATGGCCATGCTCAACATTTTTGATGCTGTTGCTAGTCAACATGATATGATAGCAACTTCGATCCCCGCAACTTTCCCGTGGATTATAGAGTTCGGCCTCCGCGCCTTCCTCCACAATTGAATCCGATTGGCCTGAGATAAAAATCATTCCGGGGGTTAAGGGGGGAGGTACTTTATTATCGCCCGCGGTCGGTTACTCAGAGGCGCTCGTACCAAATCACCCACTCATTCTCGCACAGGCTTATCCGCACTTAGCCACTTGTACTCAGATTCGCCCTTACTTTCCCACAAAGAGACACAGACACAGAGACACAGACACAGACGCAGACGCAGACACAGACACAAACACACACAGAGACACACACACACACACAAATTCACACACTCGCACACAGACGCTCAGAAATGATAACGCTAGAAAGGACCGGCACATATCAGGATGCCCGCGTCGAATAAGTTCGAGGCGTTTGAGGCCTGGGAAGCCTCCAGAACTTTGGGTCCTTGGTCACGACTACCTCGCCGTCGTAGAGGACATAGAAGGTGCTGCCAGGCCTCGGCCCGGCCAACGCCCAACTCTCGCCAGCCAAGTGCAGATGATGCTCCGTGCATCCAGACCGCAAAAGAGAGCCAGTCAGGCCCCGAGGTCTCCTGACCCCCTCGCGTCGCACAATGAACTACTACGGAATGTGTTCGACATTTGTTTCGACCCTGGGTGCCCTTACAAACGTCTGAGGACCTCCGAAAACAACTCAGGATGAAAAGCCGGTCCTCGGGAAGGGATCCAGACTCTAGACCTGGAGCTCGGGAGTCCATGTTGTTCACGGCGTCGGAAATTTCAATATCCGCCTTCCATCGTGCCCAGCTGCTCCTCGAGGTGGTTAACGATTATGTTTTGATGTGAGCTTGTGTGTGTGTGTGTGTGTGTGTTCCTCCTTTCTCGCCCTCCGCGGCCGCGCTCCCCCTCTGCCCCCCCCTCTTGCCGCCAAACATTCCGCGCGTGCCCGAACCCGGCCCACCAAAGCGCGCGTGCGGATCGCCTCTGCCGCGCTGCGACGGAGAAACCATATGCGTGTGTGCGTGCGTGGCTCAACTGCCGTGCCTTCGCCTGGCGACACTTTCCGTCACCTGCCACTGCCCGTGTCATCTCCTCTCGCGTCCTCGTTCAGCTCTGTCCGCCCTTCCCTGCGACGCCTTCCCCTCGTCGCTGCGCCATGCTTGCTGGCCGCGCGTCCTGCCACTATTGCCTCTCTGGTCGGCACCGTTGAGCCGCCGACACTCGTCCTTCCTCACGACTGCCCGCCCATGAGACTCCCACGCGGCGTGGTTCCCGATGGATGAACCCAGATTCGGCCCGCGGGTGGCTGCGTGAGGATCTGGGCGTTTTCTCCGCCTCTTTGATTCCGCTGTGGCGTTGCGCGCGCGGCCGCGACGCCAAAAAATCAGGGTGTGTCTGCATGTGTGTGTGTGTGTTCGCCATTATTGGGCCTACTGGGCGCTGTCGTCGCCGCAATTGGATTCCCATCGGAATTCTGGCCGAACGCGCCCAAATGCGAATCTGGGATCCGACTTTTTCACCCGGCTGGCGACTCGATACATCCTATGGCGCTGGATTCTCAATTGTCGCTCTCAGGAAGCTGATCACAGGCCTGGATGCGGTCCCACAGTTGATCGATATGAAGAGCGGGCCCTGGAGAAGCGGGGGAGAGCTCGCGGGGCCCCCGAAATCAAGAGATCAGATGTCGGAGGCCTGGGGAGGTGAAGGGGCAGAGACCTATCCGAGGCATCCTGGCCTGGAGAAACAGTTCTCTCCAAGACCTCGAGGACACCTTCCCGAGAGTACTATAGCTACCCCATGGCCATCACGCGGCGCCCTCTTGGTTGCACAGCGGCTTCGCACCACAAGGCCACCTAGTTTGAATATCAGATTCCCTCATCCTCCACACTCCTCCTACTCCTCCTCATCCTCCTCCTCCTCCGTTCTTCTCATTCCCTCCTACAGCGTACAATTGCACCTTCTGCTGATTCGCCTGCTCCTTCCATATTCCTACACATCCTGGCATCCTACTCCTTCTCCTCCTCCTCCTCCGGCTCTTATTCCTACTCACATTCCTTCTCCTCCTATTCCTCCTTTCCCTCCTTCTCATCATGAGCCCTGATCCCATCCCGTCCTTCACATCCTCTCGTGTCCTTCCTCTGGCTGTGCAGCTGGGGTTTCGATCAGCAGAACCAGTGTCGGGAAGCGTTCGCTCGGAGCGGCCCCTTTGGCTTGTTTAGAACAACCCTGGCGTCATATTTGAGTGAGGCATAGCATGGACATGCGAAGACAGAAGTACAACGATGACAAAGAGAAGCAATGCAGATGACAGCAGGGAGAACGCAGGGCGCATATGTGGAAGAAGGTCGGAGGATGGCATGAGGAGGGAACGAAAGGGGGAAAGGGAAACCTTAGAGTAAAGAAAGGTAGACAGACCTATGCTCAGCAGCTGGAGAGCAGAGAGGGTGGCCAACCAATGCGGCGAAAACAACGCAGTTAGCAGCGTCAAAGGATAGCGGCGTCTAAATTGGATCCTCGTCGGACACTACTAAGGGCTCATGAGGGCGGCGGCACTTGCGCAGTTGGCAGCGTCCAGGTAGAGCGAGGTCTCACTTGGACCTGCGAATGGCAGCACTCCCCTGGACATCCCAAAAGCCTACGAGAATGCTGACAAATTTGCAATTCGCAGCCCCAAGGGGGGGGGGACTCGTTTGGGTCCGCGTAAGGCACCACTCCACTGGACCTCCGAAAACCAACAAAACGACGGCGCAGCTCGCACCCTCCAAGCAAAGGGGGGTCTCGCTTGGGTCCGCGTAGGACACCAGTCCGCTGGACCTTCCAGAGGCCAACGAACGTGACGACAATCCCGCAGTTCGCAACACCCATGCACGGTTCGCACAACTCGCCACACCCAAGGAGGACTAGGTCTCGCTTGAGTCCGCGTAGACACGGACCCGCTCGACCTCGAAGCAGCCAACGAAAATGGCGACACGTGCGCAGTCCGCAGCAACCAAGAACTGCGAGGTCTTATTCTGAACTCTGAACTGCGTAGGCGCCACTCCGCTGAGCCACGAAAGTGGCGACATCTTTGCAGATCGTAGCGTCGAGGGAGGGCGAATTCCTATTCTGATCTACGTCGGATGTCACTCCGATGGACCTCCAAGGAGTCCACGAAAGTTGCGACGGCTGCATAGATGGCAGCACACAGGGACGGCGAGGTATGATTCTGATCTGAATAGGACGTCGGACCTCCCAGGAGCACACCAGAATTGCGACATTTGCGCAGGTGGCAGATTCCAGGGGCGGCGAGGCATCATTCTTATCTGCGTCGGACGCCTCTCCACTGGACCCCGCGCTCACGAAAGAAGCGAGAACCTCCCAATTCGCATTACCCGAGGTGGTCAACCTCAAACTCTGATCCGCGTAAGGCGCCACTCCGCTGGAACTCCAGCAACTCACGAACGTGGTGACAAATGCGCAATTCGCAACGCCCAACGACGGCGAGGTCCAATTCTGATCCGCGTAAGACGTCAATCCACTGGACCTCCCACGAGCCCATGGCATTGGCGGCAGTTGAGTAGTTGGCAACCCCCAAGGACGGCGAGGTCCAATTACGATCAGCGGTAGACCCCACTCCGCTGGACATCCCAATTTGCAACCCCCAAGGACGGCGATGTCCCGTGCTAGTCCGGGTACGACCGCACTTTGCTGGAACTCCCAGGAGCCCGCGAAAGTGGGGCCAATTAAGCGATTCCCAACACCAAGGGACGGCGAACTCGCATTCTGCTCCGCGTAAGACCCCACTCCGCTGGACCTCCTGGGATCCCGCGAAAATGGCGACAATTAAGCAGTTCGCAGCCCCAAAGACGGCAAGGCCAAATTCTGATTGGCGTAAAGCCCCACTCCGCTAGACCTCCTCGGAGCCCACGAATGCGGCGACAATTGCACAGTTGGCAAACCCCAGGCACTGCGAGGTCTAGCTCTGATCCGCGCAAGGCCCACCTCCCAGGAACCCGCGAACGCGGCGACTGCTCTCTAGCCAAAAAGGGCACCCGAGGGAGGGTTGGGGGGTTGGACAGGAAGTTGTTGGAAGCAGGCAAGAGGCATGCAAGAGTTAATAGGGAGGACGAGGGAGGAGGGGGGAGGAGGAACAATGGCCGATGGATGCCCGAGTGCTCTATTCAAAACCAGGCCCAACGCAAAATGGTTGAGAAACAATTTGTGGACGAGAATCCGCCGAGCCCGCTTGTCGGGGTGAAGGCGTGAGATGATTGGCTGCCCCCCTCCCCCAGGGTCCAAAATCTCGTTAAAGGGGGGAGGGTATCTGGGCTCGCCGGCGCACCCCCAGCGACTTGACCTCAAAAACGCTCCCGAGACGGCGGTCCCGAATCACGGAACGATTGGCGCAAAACGCCTGCGATGGCTCCAAGACGCCCCAAGACGCCTTTGAGACGCCCCTACTGCCGTCCCAAGAGGGTCCCGAGAGGCATAGAATCAATGGCTTCCCTTCGGCTTGTCATTGTTTCTGAAAGAAAAGCCCGGAAAAGGGCCGCGAATTCCATGGGCCGGGGACGAACATTTACACCGACGATAGGACTCCGCATGAGAATCGAATCTGGAAATGTTCCTCATTGTCGTCGCTGTGAGTGCAGAGGGTCTCTTCCTGTTTCCTCATCTTCGCCTCGGCGTAGGCCCGCTTCCCGCCCGCTGTTCTGCCTCCTCCTCGTCCTCCTGTCCCTAATTCCCAATTCACCTTCTCCCCCGCCCATTAACAAGGGCACGCAAATCGATGCTCCTAAGCGCCGTTGTCGCCACGGCCGGCACGGGGGCATTCTCCGATGGCCAGATCGCGCAGCCGCCAAGAGAAAACAGCGTATTCCATTGACCCGTTCGGATTCCCAACATGAAGTGCAGGCCCAATAGGGAGGAAGGGCCCCGCTTGAGACATCCTCGCCATTCACTCACACACGAGGCGCCCGCTTAAAACATCCCCACGATTCGCTACCTTGGGGGGCCCAATTGCTACGCCTGAAAAAAAAATCCGATGACCCGTTCGGACTGCCAAAATGAAGCGAGCGCCCAGGGTGGGGGGCCCCGCTCGAGACATCCTCAATATGTGCCCCCTCGGGGCGGTCAAGCGCTACGCCTGGCAGAATATCCCGATGACCCGTTCGAATTACCGATATGAAATGCCAGCCCCATAGGGAGGAAGCTCTCGCCTGAGACTTCCTCGCAATTCACTCCCAAACGAGGCCCCCAACCGAGACATCCTCGACGAGTTGCCTCCTTGGGGTGCTCGAGTGCTGTGCTTGGTGGATGGTGGAGTATTATGATGACCCGCTCGTATGAAGAGCATGAAGTGCGCGCCTCATCACGCACTCACTCACACGCCTCTCATGTAACTCCAAGACGAATGTCCTGCGCAACATCATAAGCATCCTAACAGTATCGTGCTGCGCTTATCTTCCGATCGCTGTGGTTCATTTCGCAAGTCATGCTCCTCATTGGGCGCTGTTGC